ATATCGGTCCGGGTTTTTTCTTTTTGACCGGCCCAAATAAAAAAAAACGGACCGAACCCGAAATTTCGGGCTCATTAATGGGCCCTAAAATCTATAACCCGGCCCAGACCGATAAAAACCCGAAACAATTAATTTAATATAAATTCAATATAATATAGCAATATAAATTAAATATTAATTCTCAATATATGATTATAATCATGGTGCACGAAAAAATGACTTAATAACTTTTAGTGATTACAATATGTTCAATTTACTTACCGTAATGACCACGAAAACATATTTATAGTAATTTTAGTCACATTTTTATCCATAATTTTATTTCCTAACATGTTTAGAAAACCCATATTATTTATTTTCATGCATCTTAAACAAAATATTACGGAGTATGATAATTGTCTTCCTGGATTTGAATTCTTAGTGATTTTGGAGACTAATATTTATGCTATTATTTGTGGTTTGTACTTTTGACTAATTTTATTTGAAAATAGATTTTAAAATATAAAAGAAAAATGAGATGATTTCACATTCGGGCTTTAACCGGCCCAACCCGAACCGAACCCGGACCACAAAAAACCCGACTCGGACCGAATATAGTGGGTTTTGTTTCGGTCTCTAATTTTCATAACCCGAGATCTTACGACTAATTTCTGGGTTTAGCAAAAACCCGACCCGGACCGGATAGATCCCACCCCTAGTTAAGAACACTCTAAGATAATTTTTTCCCCTAAAACCGGGTCAAATAGGGTCAAAACCAGACCAGAACGGAAAATTCAGGTCCATACCAGTCTAGACCGGTTAGATTCAGGTCCGGTCTTCGATCCATAGAAAATGATGATTCCGGTTTCGGTCCGGTCCGATTTTGGACCGGTACGTTTGTGATGATGATGATGATGATGATGATGATGATGATAATAAGTGGTTTAACATCCGGTAGTGGATGGTGGATCCTATAATTAATTTACCTTTACTTTTCTAATAAAATTATTTTTGTCAATGTGTAATTTTTTCCTGATTAATTATTAGTTCATCTTTTTGCTTAAAGGTCCAAGTGTTTAAGGCTAAGAAAATGTTTTGTGCGGCCGTGATGATCCATGGAATTGCATCCTTCGAACGACTCTTCAAAGTGTTGTTGATCTTGTGATTGATTTAATCAAAGGCAAAATGTTGGAGAAGATATATGGAACGGTCAATGTGGTCACTACGAAGCACGTTGATGTGTAAAATATATTCATCTAAAAATGTATAGAATCTGACTATTCATTACACCGATGTGATCTGCGGTGAGTACGTTGATTCTCCTAAATTTTCATATATAAGAGTGTATTTGTCTTTATTTTTATTATTTAGCTCCTTTCTTAATTTAGTGATCTTTACTTTATGTTTTTCTCGGTAAAGAGAAGTAAATATGTCCATCAAAACGATGAAAAGTGATATGATGATGCGATATATATCATACTACTATTATCACAAGTTAAATTTACATCATTCCAACCAACTGTTCGGCCAATGTTGAGTGTCATCTTCAAGGATAAGGATCGTTTTTAGCATAGTTACTTCTCATCGCAGTTGTTGGGATTCGAACCCGGAACCTAACTCTTGTGGTACTCCCTTGCTATCAGTTGAGCTACGTCCACCGGTTTCATCCTTTAATTTGTTTTCTTACTACTAGTTATTTTATTAATTTTCATAAACCTCGGGAAATGCAATTGGAACGTATTTTAAACTTCAAAATATCTTGAACCATTCTATCATACAGAGCCGGTCTTGCACTTTTCAAGCCCGTGTGCGATTTATTTTTATGGGTTTAATTTAATTAACAATAAATTACTTCTTTAAATGATTATTAGTAGAATAAAATTATGTATAAAGTCATAATAAAAGAAAAAAATTAGTTTATAGTGATACTATGATTTACTATCATGCAGTTGTGAATTCAAACAAAAAAAGAGCAATATAATTATCTAACAAATTAGAGAATTCCTCACTTTCTTGTAAAACATTGTCAAGAAAATTCATATTATACCAACTGCTTAACAAATGAATAAAATGCAAGAATTGCACACATAAGAAACTTGTGAAATTTAATATTTGTTCATAACTTCATAATGAACTTTTGGTCTCTGCAGCCGAATACGTGATCAACTCATCAACCCCGGCCCATGTTATTCTAATTAAGCTCATATGAGGACGTGGACGGGCTCTGGAGTTAGCTCATATAGTCATATACTACCCCAACTAGGGCTGAACCGGGACGGGTCGGCCCGATCTTGGCCTGACCTAGGCCCGATACTGTTTTGGACTTTGGCCCTGCCTGGCACGCTGCTGTATAGGCCCGGTCCCAGACCGGCTATAAGCGGGGGCTCCGGGCTCGTTTTTTGGACCCAACCCGTCCGGGTCCGGGTTCGATTGCACTATTTTTTAATTTATTGCCCAATCTCGTCCCGAAGCCCAGCTTGATCCGCTACTGTTAGGCCCGACCCAGTTCCGATACAAACTTGGGCCGGTAGCTGACCTTAAATCCTTAATCCCGAGCCCACCCAGTTCCGACTCGGATCCCGGTCAGACCTGGGCCCAATCCACCCCTAACTCCACCATGCCATTATTCAACCTAATTTAATTATAAGAGCAAGACTAGTGTAGGATAAAATATGTCATCTCATAAATGTCAGTTTGGCCAAAAAAATTGCACTTTCCAAGATCAGGGTGTAGAAAGCCTCAAAGACTTGCTTACTCACCAAGTTGTAGGGTCCTTTCAATTCAATTTCCCTGCTCCATCCATTCATGAATTATCAAATAAGTAGATGCTTTCACTCTATTATATTGTTCGGAATTTAACTACAGTTTATTCCTATTTAGAAAATGAACTCTAAAAACTATTGAAACTTTGAAAGAGTATTTTGAAATAAAATATTTTGGAAAATTATACGGTGCACTCCTAAATTTTGAGTGCACGGGTACAGACATTTTCTTATCCAATCACATTTTAGTATTGTGCTACTAAATATGATTAACGACTTGTAATGAGAATTGAGTTATTAGCCTAAATATGATTGAATTGCTTCTTAAATTTCTAAATAGGATTATGTATATTTTTATTTTTTAAATAGGACTTTTATACCATATTTGTCCTTCCTAATATAAATAAGGTTTAAATTTTTTTTTGTCTCTGCAAATATAGTATCCCTGCAATTTTTTTTTTTGTTTTTTATTTCTAAAATTTATGTTAGTTTTTCTTTTAGTCTACCGCTGATGATAATAATGGAATTTAATACGTATTTTAAAAATGTGAGTAATTAGTTTTTATTTTTTTTAACTCTCATATTTTCCTCAAAAAAATTATAGGGATACATTTTTTTAGTGATATACTAAAAACCAAATAATGCATAATACAAGGATGAAAAACATAAAAAAAATATTTTACAGGGACTCAAATCATATTTAAACCTATAAACAATTGCCCCCTATTCCCTATGCCGGTGATCCAGATCCACGGCGTCGGCGTCAGTGTAGGCCAGATCTTTAGCGGTAGAGGTCGGATCTTTAGCGCCGGTGGCCGACGTGGCCATATCTGGTCAGATGTACGGTGGTGGTTCATGGCAAGATGTGCAATGTCGGTGACTAGATCGGTGACGCCCAGATCTGACCAGATGTACGGAGGTGGCGGCCAGATGTGTAGCGTCGGCTGCCAACGGTCAACAGCGATGTTCGGTTGCATTTAGTTTTGTCAAGCTTCAAGGGGTACTTTCGTACTCTTGTCCAACTACAAATAATAATTCCTATTTAGAGTACTTTTAAACTTTGCACATACTTTGACAATTAAATATTTATTTATTCCTATTTAAATAAATCTCCTTGGACGATTTTGTTCAGTTTAACCTTTTTTTTCTAGTCCGGTGAAGGACCCAAATTTAAAAATGGCAAATTATTATGTTTAGTTAATGAGGATATTAGGTGACGTAAGATTAAGATATAATGGGATGAGTGGTTAAAAAAGATGATGGGTGGTTAAAAAGGATGTGTACCAAAACACACCAAATTAAGGAATGCACAGTAGAAGCACCCAAATATTTTTTACTCTTACAAAGAGCACGAGTAGCATTTTCTTCTCCACACTAAAAATTTTGTATGACATCAATGGCAAATCAAGCTACTATGCCAAAGTTAAGTAACATGGTCACTTGATTTGATTAAAACTAAACATAAAAAATGATATACTTTATTTCACGAAGTAATATATATGTTGTTATCCTAATTAACATTGCTTTGTGACTAATATCCCTCGAAGTACGTATTTGTCCAGTTTATTTAGAAGAATGAACAGCAAAACCAAAGGATATACGGACCCTAATTTAAAGATCTAATACTAGAATAGAAAATAAAAGTATAGCATATGGAAGTTTTCCCTCAAGATAAATCAATCAACCGTACAACAACATTGAAATGGTCCATTCTCACGTGAAGTGCGAATATTTAGGAAGATTAGATTGTTTTTAAGATTAATTCGTTACCTACAGGGAAGATCAAGATTCTTTGTTTAGTACAAGCGGTGTTTATTTTTTATATATTGTTCTGCCCGGGATAATACACATTTTTTATGAAGCCAAAGACCCAATGCGTAGTATTTTGGAGTGATGGAATACTGCAAAATGGGTAGATAAATTATTTGTGCTTCTTTATTATTATGAAGCACCGATTAATCCTGTTTACTTCAGTACAAGGGTAAGGTCCTACTTTAAAGAATGTATATATCCGACCCCTTTACCCTATCGTAAGTGGAGCTTTTGTGTCGCACTGGTTATGACGTGATATTGTTTTTTAGTTGTATGATGTATGTATTTATATATAGGATTTAATATCTTGTCAGTGTACCTTTTACACGAAAGTAAATGTTTGTGGACAGAGACAAAAGTTGTCTGTGTATACAGACAACTCTTGTCTGTGCTCACAGGCAACTCTGTATAAATGGTCTGTGACCGATATTTTGTGTACCCCTTACATTTCTGTTTAATATCACAAGTCCCTTTGGGACATCCCATAAATATACTCATTACTCAGTAGGATTTAATACTCTGTATCACAAATTCGTTTAAGCCAGAGTGTACAGAGAGACAGGTGAAGCAGAGAAATGCGGCGGCGGCAGATTGCGAAGGCAATTCTTGTGATAGTGATAACATGCCTTATGGCATTTTCTGTGGTCGCTCCATCATCTGGCGGAGGAGGATTTGGTGGTGGCGGCAGTAGCGGAGGGGGAGGATCACGTGGTGGAGGCAGCATCGGAGGAGGATTTGGTGGCGGCGGCAGTAGCGGAGGGGGAGGATCACGTGGTGGAGGCAGCATCGGAGGAGGAGGATGGCTGGGTGGAGGGAGTAGCCGTGGTGCAAGAAGTGGCGGCTATACGAACGGAGGCAACGGCGGCGGAGCCAGTCTGGTGCAGCCACATCACAGATCCCATGGGAATCGTCTGAGTAACAATCCATCCACCGTGTTTGGATGTGCACAAGTGGTTCCGGCCTTTTTGGCATACAATTTGGTTATTCAATTTCGCATTTGAGTGCTATCCACATGTGATTAACTTACATACACAATAACACAAATACAGTATATATTTGATTATATTCAATTCCCAGATCTACTTAAGGGAACTACGTCTTGCACATTTGAATTGATCGAAGAGTGGTAAATTTCTTTGAAGAAAAGGGCCAAGGGGGGATAATGGGTTAGCTACAAGTATCTTTGTTAAACAAGAGCATCAGAGTAATTCATCCATTATTAATCTATGATTACTATTCCGTATTTTTTTGCATAAATTATTTCTTTGTTTTGGGATGAACGTGTAAATTAAACGTTTTAGTCGTATATAGGACAATTACTAAAAAAGTAATTGTCCTAAATAAGACTAAAACATAGATAAAAACTCAAATTAGGATTTAATATGTTTTATCCTTCATATAGGAGTCATCCGCTCCTATTATCACTGGCGGAACTAGGGGAGGGCGAGCCGGTGCTGGCGCTCCCCCTTCTCCGGCGGTGGTTCTGTATATATATGTATATATCTCAGCCCCGGTTCAGAAAGTATTCATATATTAAAATGGATTCGCTATTTGAACATATGAGTTGTGATAGTTCAAATGGTAGGGTGGAGGTTGGGAGAGATCTGTCTACCTAAATGGCCCAAGTTCAATTCTCAAGAGCAACAACTTTTTTTGCTTTCTCCATTATTGCTTCTTTAGACTTTAGCCCATTTGATAATTATTTATGTTCAATTAAATCACTCTAGGATGCAATGTTGTTTAAATCACACTTTTTGAATTTCTATATATTTTATTTTAAATTCTCATTTCTTCAATTCAAATTATTTTTAATCATTTCTTCTTCTAATAATGGTATATACGGACGTTGTCATTTAATGTCAAGAATAATTCTAAAACTACTTTAAGTTAATATAAGTATTTACCTTTTGTTTAGTATAATAGCATTTTTATTTGAAACACACTACATATACATATATATAAGTTTCGGATCAAATAAAAAGAGTTCTTATCATTAAAATTGATCGAGAATAAATCTTGTGTATTTAACTTGAGATCCGATGAGTCAAAATCAGTCAACAATGCACTATATTTTATCAAAAACTTGGTGACAATTTGATAAATAAATCAAAATTTTCTCTCATTGTGAAAAAGTGTAAAATAAATATTTACTAGTGTACCAAAACGAGTAAAAAATGCGTCTGTTCTCATTTTTCACGAGAATAACTCTTTTTATTAGAACCTCACTCTATATGTATTAATAATTATTTTTCACTCGTTTTTATTTTATCCTAATAAAAAATTGTTTTTCAAAAAAAAATATAAGAGCACCCCCTCAAATTATTGTCTGGTTCCGCCGCTGCCTATTATCAGTTTTTACGTTTTCCGCAAAGTCTAAAATGTCCCTGTGTGTATCCTTTTCTCCGCCTCCAGCGACGATCTCCTTCTTCTTCTGCGCCATGTTCTTCTCCTGCAACTCCAACATCAATCCTCTTATCCTACAACCTAAAATCAATCGCCTTCCCTGCAATTCCAATAGCGATCATCTTTTCCTGCACCTCAACAATTGATCCTTCTCTACGACGTCCAGTCCAGAACTCCAGGTTGTTCTGCTACTCCCCTTATGTTCTCTGCCTCTCTTTCCTTTTCTCTCATCCTCTTCACATTCGAACACTATCTCCCAGATTCCTCTTCCTCATCTGATTTCTTCTTCTTCTTACTCTGTTTTGTAAAAAATGTCATCTTTGTTCTCTAAATGTCATGGAGATGGCATTTCCATATATAAAAATATGACAGTCATGGAGAATGTCAAGTTGGTGTCATTTTTACTCTTTAGAAATGTCAAATAAAAATTGTCATCCTGGTAAATGTAATGTCAAGACAGGGACATTTTTTTCAAATCAGTGTTGAATAACATAGCAATTATGCCATTTTCAGGTCCAATTGGTGAGAAAAATAGTATGAACAATTTAAAGTGAATTAGATGGAAATAATAAAAAAATGAATATCCAAAAGAGAAGAAAAGAGTAAAAGTGGAAGAAAGAAAATATAGAAGCTTTAAAGAAGAAGAAGAAGAAGAAGCTTATCTGGGGAAGTTGCAGAGGTGATGCAGAGACATCCTTCAAGGCAACCTTCGTAAGTCACGAACGGAAGAAAGGTTGCTTTGCAGGGCAGTTTTGGTATTCCATCTATATTTTAGTCCTATGGTGTTAAACAGAAAAGTGATAGTCCTACGGTGGATTTTTTCATAAGTTTTAGTCCTATTTAGGTAAATTTCTCTTACTAAAATACATATTCGGTTGTTTATTATCTGTGTGCTAAATAATCAGATTGAATGGAATCAAATAATAAATTTAATATTATTAATGTAGTGTTATATTATCAATGAATAATGTCATTTATTTACATAGACTTATTCCATAATTGATTTTAAAAGATTGGCTCAAAATTGGTTTTAATATAGATTGATTAATGTCTTAAGAGGCCTCTTAATGCAAAAAAAAACTACTAGTACTATATTAAAACTTAACAGTTGATTCAATTTTTTTACTAAATAAATAAATTTGTCTTTCAATTAAGTCGTAATTTAAGTAAACCATGCCGAACAAGCTACTTAGAATTCAGTTTTCCGAACACAGTAGCCAACTAGCCACGGCTAATAAGCTGAAAAAGGGCTACATTTTTTAGAATTCAGCCAATTTTAATCAAAGTAGCCACGTTTGTTTAAAGGGCTGAACATGGCTTGAGCTGGAAACTATTATCTGAAATGAAACGTTTCTAAAAGGCGCTAGTCAGGCGCCAGCCCAGCGCCTAGCGCCTAGACGGGGACTAGTCGTAGACATAGAAATTATAGTCATAGACATAAATATGATGATTAGTAATGTTGTGTTTGTGTATAACTATTTATTTACACACACATACACATTAACATGTATGAATGATAGTCACATTTAATAATATATTATACCTACTCAGTACTCACTTAACTTCATTATGCATGTAATGATAACAACCTTCACACCATTCAACTACTACTTATAGCCCTACGATTAGACATAGAAACAATCAATCCTAAAGGAGCTAGCAATACGAATCGCTAACAATGCATGACCACCAGACAAGCTTAATGCAGCTATATATTGTTGAACAAATAAATCCGATCCCCACTAACCATATAAAATCTGGTCGAAACTTGAGTCATCGTAATAAACCTAGTACCATGAGCTTTAACAAAAAACAAAACGATAAGAACAGAGTTCCTTATTTAAAAACTAAACCTGAATAAAATGAAATTAAAAAAGATAAATCGATGGATCAGATGACCCATGGCAACGGCGGGAACCCTAGACTCACAGATCCTCCATGACGGCAGTTCAGGAGGGGGACGGATCATCATCACTTCATCTTATCCTCCATCGCTCGGATCTTATTCGCATCCCTTGACGCCGTAGCCTCCGCCAGCAAAACTTCGTCCTCATTAATTTGAGAAGAAACCATGCATAACATCACCGTCAAAATTGACAAAAGAAGAACCCTAGAAATCATACAGAAGAAAACATCACTCACACGAGTGTATAGACCACTTTTTTAAGTTTAGATGGATAAGAGTCTTCACCATTCCTCTCCGAGCGATGGCTGAACCTTCCGGAGTTTTCCATATGCGGTGGCAGTTATGCGAGAAAACACGTACGGGCTAAGTATATAAATACTCCAGCTATGGAGTATATTAATAAGCTAATGTGTACGTGTAGTTTGATCATTTTAAGTTCTTATATTCAATTTTGAATTTGTTGTTTTTAGAAACAAATTAAACTTGCATTGATCACAACTAAATGATCAAAATGAAATAGATCAAACTTAATCGACAAACACTGGCTCTTAAAATGATATAAAATGTACCAAATACAAACCGATTAAGTTTCGGTTTGGTTTCGGTTAGGTATGGTTCGTTTCGATTTGGAGTTCGGTTTACCAAAGTATTAAGGTTTGGATTGAAAAAAAAATAACTCAAAATAATGAACCAAGAAGCGATAATAATGAACCAAATATAATGTTAGATATAAATTTGTAAACAGTAACAAAACACATATGAACCAAAAATATATAAGCATGACACATTTGTAAGCAACAACATCAGGAATGAATCAAATTATATATAAAGCCGAAACAAAAACAAAACTAGTGCTTGTAAGTAATGAACCAAATATATAGTAATAGTAAATAATAAATTATAGCTAATACTATCTACTTAAACCACTATTATTATAGTTGTGAATGTAACTCTTGTAGTAAACTCTAGTCCTGGACACTAAAATTAAAGAATTAAAGCTTCAAAAAGATTAACATCAATCAAATTAATGAGAGAAATCTTATATTTTGGTTTGGTTTAGTTTGGTGTAAGTTGGTTTTGATTTGTTATTTTAAAAAACAAGAAATTATTTCATTTTTAGATTAGTTCGATTTTATTCGGTTTTATTCGGTTTTATGATTTTGGTTCGGTTTGGTTCGATTTAATACGGGTTGGGAGGAATACTATCAAACTCAAACCAAATAATAAATGGTTCGGTTTTGGTTCGGTTTAATTTGGTTTGGTACAGTTCGGTTCGGTCAAACCGAACTGTTATGTCCACCCCTAGTTATACTTATTGTTCTTTATAATACTTAACTACATTTTATTCGAGAATGAACTCTAAAAAACTATTGAAACTTTGGGAAGTGTATTTTGAAATAAAACAAAGGCATTGAATTGAAGTGTTTTTATACTCCTACAAAGGGTACAAGCTAAGTAGCATTTTCATTTATAGACTAAAAATCTTGTGCTGCATCAATGGCAAATCAAGCTACATCCGTGACTAACGTTTTTAAAAAAGCCCGCAATTAGTCACGGACATGTATCCGTGACTATGTTTAATTTTAAAAAAATTGAATTTATTCCGGATTAAAATAGATGGATCCAAAGGTTCGCCATGAGAAGTCCAATTATAATAATTGGGAAGGAAATCGTCCGCGTACAAATCCCACCCAACTTCGTCTGGGTGTTTAAATTTGAGATTTTTACACTTTGAACATGGACATCTGATTTTATCACCACTCATATAAGCCGGGTGTTCAAGTGCGAATTTAATAAACTCCTCAACTCCTTCAATAAAATTTGATTGCATTCCGTACAATACCGCATGTTTATCATACATCCAAATTCTATTTTGTCTATACATTATGCCTGAATATTATAATAAAAAAATTATACAAGTTACAAACTCTAAATTATAAACATTACCAACATATGTGGAGTATTATTAATATATTAAATTTCACTAAATTTCACTAATATTCTCTTTAAATTAACTAATTCCCTAAAATTAACTAATTCCCGGCCTTAAAATTAACTAATTCCCTTAAATTTCACTAAAATTCAATAAAATTCTCTTAAAATTAACTAATTCCCTAAAATTAACTAATTCCCATAAATTTCACTAAATTTCACTAAAATTTCCTTAAAATTAACTAATTCCCTAAAGTTCCCTTAAAATTAACTAATTCCCTTAAAATTAACTAATTTCCTTAAATTTCACTAAATTTCACTAAAATTCCCTTAAAATTAACTAGTTCCCTAAAATCCCCTTAAAATTAACTAATTCCCTTAAAATTAACTAGTTTCCTTAAATTTCACTAAAATTCACTAAAATTCACTTAAAATTAACTAATTCCCTAAAATTCCCTTGAAATTAACTAGTTTCCTTAAATTTCACTAAAATTCAATAAAATTCACTTAAAATTAACTAATTCCCTAAAATTCCCTTAAAATTAACTAATTCCCTTAAAATTAACTAATTGCCTAAAATTTCACTAAAATTCAATAAAATTCACTAAAATTCCCTTAAAATTAACTAACGTCCAATAATTAATATTATTAAACTATAAACATGCACAATACGTTAATGGCATTAATTTAATCCACAATACTAAAATTATCAACAACTTAATCTTATTAATAATGCACATTTAACAATTTACTAAATTAAATAATATGAGCAAATCCAATAATTTGAGCATATATATATAATAAATACATTTAAATTAAATTAACTAACCCTAATTTAAATCATTATTAATCCTAAATTAGGCCGCCTTAATTAACAATAATTGCCAATATAAAGAAATCATATACTTATATTAAATAATACTTACATTTAACTAATATTAATAATATGCATTTAAATTATATTTAATCATATATACTTACATATGTATTTAACTAATTTATGTAATTTAACCCTATATTTTAAAATTAATAACATATGTATTGCCAATATTATATTTAATAATATACTTTCATATATATGTATTTAACTAATTTACATATTTAACTAATTTACGTAATTTTAATTAATTAAATACAACTTAATTAACCCAATATGTTTAAATTACACCTACGTTTAACGTAACTAAATTTAAGGAATTTATTTCGTTAATTAATTAAGTATTAATTTAACTAATGTAGTAGCTAAAATGAACCAACTAATTCATACAAAAAATACGTAATTCAAATTACATACCTTATCTGCATAAACAGGAAAAACGATATGAGATGTGTAGATTACATCCTTCAATTCTATCTGGAATTCTATCTGGAGTAGATGGTGTGATTTTGTTGAATGAAGCGGAGGCTGAATATATAAAACTTATAGTCACGGACGTAGTCACGGATGTGTCCGTGACTACATATTTTTGGTACGATTTGTCAGAGCACTTTAAATTTGGAACGTTTAAAAAATCAATTTTGCACTTGTCACGGAATTAGTCACGGACGTATCCGTGACTAACTGTAGTCACGGCACTAGTCACGGAACCATCCGTGACTAATTTCAAATTTAAAAAAAAAACCCGCCGGAAGCGAAATTGGGTTGGCCGGAACACTTCAGTCACGGAGTATAATTTATTAGTTTGCATAATTTATTAATTTTGCTTCCTTTTATGACGATCGAGAGTATAATAACGCTCCTAAATCAAAACCGTTTATTTGGAATACAATTTCTTTCCTGAAATGTGTTAATGTACCAGATATGCACTCAAAAATAAAACCGTAGAGTTTGAGATTAATTGTGCCTTTGTGTGTTGCATGCATCGTGTTCAGTTTATAAATAAATAAACAACTGAATATAATAATTCAAAAATATCTTAATCATCACTAACGGTTATCCCTATTTCGAAAATCAAATAAACCTATATTATTAAATAATTCAGTCATCGTACAATTTACGAGTACTATGCTAAAATACATAGGGCTTCTGTAAATATCGGGGACAAAGTCACACTCTATCTGTCAGATTGGGATTATAGTCCAATTTACATCCTCCCAACGTACCGTCCGGTCAGGGTTGGAGGCCCTCAAGGATGGGGTGTCATCCTTAAATAATTCAGTCATCTTATTTAAGGATTAAATAGATTTTAATGGTATAAAATTATGTTTATAAATTAAAGATCAAAATATCAGTTGACATAATACTTACGACTTAGGAAGGAAGTATAAATTCTTCTATATCAATAGAAGCAATTATTATTATTATAATCATCATCATTATAGAGTTTTCTTCAGTTCCAAATTTATAAAAAAAAAACAATACTATTAACGTGCCCACACAAAGTGATCTGAGCGGGTCACTTATAGTGACACAAAGGGACTTTTTATTCGGTGTTATTTAGATTTTCTTATCTAGAAAAAAAGAAATTATGACGAAAATTTCCCGGAATTTATATTCCAAGAATAGGAGTATAAATATAAATTTCACTAAATAGGAGTAACTTTTCAATCATATCCTCGTTTTGTTGTAATACAATTCATATTTTCAATAATAATTAAAAAAGTGGAGATCGACGTCTCTCGTTCGTAACGAAACGTGGCGGATTTGTGGGATCGACATTTAGCTATGACATTTAGCTATGTTATTTGTTTTGTGGATAATTGAAGTGTTTGAGTTCAGTGACTGGCTTATTAGACGTGGTTCCTGATTTGAGGGTAGCCGTAATTACGGGGTAATTTTTTCATTATTTTATGAATAAAATATGTTTTAAATATAATTTCTCTATAAGTCAACAGACTCAATCTATTTAGTTGTTCAAGTAGAATTTTATTAATTTCAGCAGATTCGATAAATTCAATATAATTATATAATAACTTCAATATTAACAAAGATGCTTTAAAACCTCTACAATGTCTTTTTTAATTATGGTACTCCCAATTCAAGTACACCATTTCATTTTTTTGATAATCCAGGTGTCGGGGCTTACGCTCCCATAATCCTGGAAGCTATGAACTACCCTCCAAAGCCCCTAGACAGTTAAATTCAGATCTGATCACAGTCAGCCTCGTCAGTACTGGCTCCAAAGGACGAATCCAGCAGGACTTACATCACCTTTCAGACTGCTCCTCCCACCACACGAACCCGCTATCTTCATTATCATTCTCTCCCTTCTCAGCCGCCGAGCAACTCCGTGAAGGTAGGAAGAATCATTGGGAGCAAGATCTCCCTCATCTCCCCTTGGCGGGAATTGAACCCGAGACCTCCCACAAAGGAGAGATTTGGGGATGGATGATATTCAATGGACTCATCCATTTCATTCATCATAAGAAGGGAACGGTAGAAGGCGAACTTATTTGAATTAATGCACATCATCGTCACTGAAAATCAGCAAGCCCTAACAAGGAAAAAAACAAGCTAGTCCTCACTTGGTGAGTCTTTTGAGATTCCCACTTATATATCAGTTTATTCGCACTCAATCACTACTAAAATGGGACAATGGGTAGTAAGTGTTTCATTATTGCGGGTCTATAGTCTACAAATGGCTATTATACGCACGTACAAGTTGTGTTCAAGCTGGTTTTGCCCTTTTAGATCGTTTTCACTTCCAAACCAGATTAGACCATATCACACCAGATCAGACCAAAACAAATCAGATCAGAGCAGGCCAGAACAGATAAGACTTCTGTAGTTATAAAATATAAAAAGACCAAACATTTATTAGATCAGACCAGACCAGTTTAGACCAGATCAGCAAATTTCGGTCCAAAAGAAAACTTCTTGCATACTACGTATATTATTTCGGAAAGAGTTAGAGAGTTGGGGAATACGTCACTATACCGTCTATACGTGAACCTTTTAAATGTTTTTGGCTTCCTGACTACTACATGCTTATTCACAATTACCATTTCCTCATCTTATAAAGTTAACTTTGTTACATTACAATTATTCTAAGATTGCTCCATCCGAATGAATTATATAGTGGTGAATTACTCATATAGACAATGTTTGTAATTGATTCTATTTTTGCTTCTTTGTTAAAAGTAGAAATGAATTTAGAATAGTTTTTGAGAAGATGGACTCTCTTATCTTCTCAAAAACCACCATTAAGAGAAATGTGAAACACTTAGAAATACTTCTGCACTAACACCGAAACATTCCAATTCAATATCTGCTTATGTTCCTTGAAGGAGTAGAATCAGTTTTGAAAAGTAGATCCAAACACCTCCATTGTCATATATGCCACTATCCTTTTTTATCGTCAAAACAGATGACTTAAATTGATATCGCAACATTCAGATAGGGGGTAAAATGACAAAAGGACCACATGCAACTGCCAGCCCTCGAACCAGATTTAGAGTCAATCACCTCGAAAAAATAATAGAACTCGTTGATTCTATAATGAGTCTTGCAAAAATAAAAGTAACCAACGGAAAAATAAACAGTATGATCATGAAAAATAAATAACAAGCAATCAATAAAATTAAAATACTATATCCAAACCCTAAACTCTCCTCCATTATATTCCATGGCGGCGATTCGAGAGGGAGACGGTCCAACAGTACTGTAGCTTCTTCCGCTCCCTGCCTCCAGTCCAGATCAGTTCCAGCCCCTAATCTCATGCTTCGTCCATGACCTTCAGATCTCAACCATGAACAACTTCCTCTCCACCTGCTGCTAGGGGTACACAATCTTTGACTGCCATATAGGCGTTGTGGTCTGCCGAAGAAGATAGTCTCACGAAAGGCGGACGAAAGCCGTACAAGAAAGTCGCACTTCATCGAAGATGAAATTAGAGAAAAACAACCCATAAACCTAGGGGAGACCGCCGCCTAGATCGGACTACAGATAAAAGGTTTTTTATCTATCTGCCACAATTCTAATTTACAGAAAAATCAATGAGAAATGTTGTGAATTAAGTTAACCGTGAAAGAGAAAATGGGACAAATAAGCTCTCAAAGTATTGGTGATTCTGCAAATTGACCCTTGATTCGGAAGGTCTTACAAATATATCTGTTGTGTAGGTTTAGAGTGAAAAGTCATATGTTTAAAAAAATTAATTTTTTTTGTGTGTGTCTAAAGTTGTAACCCGAACTATGTCATAAGTTATAAGTTATTGTGATAAATATGATTTGACGGCGATATCACATTCAGAACAACTCAGACAATTGAGGATACATGACATTGACAAACTTAAAAATACAAGTATGTACTTCAGAAGACCGAAAGTCCAATTTAGTTAATGATTTTTTTGGGAAGGTTAGTAGGACAACCCTTTTCAAATCTTACCTTATCTGCTATGTAATACTGGTATGTACTACAGTTGCTATTGCTCCCACGGCTCCTAGGCAAAAAACGCGCAAGAAAGATGGAAAGGTAAGAAGAAGCACCCGGGAAATTTCATTGAAATGTATGCAAAAATTCTCCTGACATATGGATGCTGGTTGAAAGCTGGAACCTTTTGAGGTCACGACTCCGGGGAAGGAATAAATCCGGGAAATAATGAAATATACCTATAGCCGTATAGCGGTTCCTCCCGAATAACTTTGGTAGAAAGATCAGTTTATTGTACTTTGAAATCCCTATTGTACCCCTGATTTTTGAAAACGTGTCTCGACACGAAATATAAAGTGAGATATTAACAAATGGCAAAATCAGGAAATTTCGAACAAAACATCTGTAGTACAGTCCGTCCGGAAGATTCGGAAAAAAAGAGAGGAACTTGGAAGAGGATGGATGCGCAGAAGAAGGTGTTGGTCGTTGGAGGCACGGGCTACCTGGGGCAGCATTTGCTCCAAGGCTTCACTCAAATTGTGCATTCTCTTCCCTGTCCTCTCTCCCTAGCCTTCACCTACCACTCCGATCCACCTCCCAGCCCACTTCTCGATGCCTTTCCAGAAGCGCTCCATTTTCCTGTCGATTTGCGCCACGGAGTTGGCTTTGATTCCATCTCAGGAACCCTAGGCCAGGTTCAACACTTATTACTTTTTCCCAATGTTTTATCTGATCTTTTTTAAGTTCATAAGATTTTTTCGTTTAGAAGATGGATTTTGAGATTTTGCTAGATAGATACTCCGTATTTATTTGTATTTATAACATAACAATAAGGCTAATTTGAAGTGTGACAGCCGGATGTTGTGATTAATTGTGCTGCACTTTCTGTCCCTCGGGCCTGTGAAGCTGATCCTGAAGCTGCCATGGCTATCAATGTGCCCTATCACCTTGTTAAATGGCTGTCAAGTTTTGATAAAAACAGTACCTTTATGATTCATTTATCTACAGATCAGGGTAAGACAATAAGCAATCACTATATTCAAAGCCATCTCTTTATTTATAGATTCGTTTTCAATTCTTTTGTTTCCTGCCTGAAATTTATTCTAGTTTTTTTATCAGTTTATGAAGGAACTAAATCTTTTTACAAGGAAGAAGATGAGATAATACCTGTGAACGTTTATGGGAAAACAAAAGTGGCAGCAGAGCAATTTGTGTCTTCAAATTGCCCGAACTTTGCAATTTTAAGGAGCAGCATCATTTTCGGACCTCAGCCTATCTCTCCTCTTGCAAAGTCACTTCCAATTCAAGTATAGTAGCTTTCATTTTCCATTCACACCTTTATAATGTACTCGTATCTGTACCGTTGTTTTCTCCTACTACTCAGGCTCTGTTTGGTGGATCCATCTGGTTGCTTAGTCTCTGTTTGGTAGCTCTATCTGACTTGTTCTGCTTATTGTACACAGAATAGTAGCTTTTTTGTTTATCTATTTGTCTGCAATGGATAGCACCACTCTTTTGAGCAGATTGAACTGATTCAGCCAAATACCAAATAGGCCTTTACTCCATTGCACTACTATTTCCTATAGGATTAATCAAAATGCCTGACTACTAGGCTTTTTAAGTTAATACCTGATGATGACTCAGAAATAGCATAAAAACTATGCAGTGGATGGATAGTGTCCTTGCCAAGGGAGATCAGACAGAATTTTTCCATGATGAGTTCCGCTGTCCTGTGTATGTGAGGGATCTAGTAACAGCCATACAAATATTGACTAACAGATGGATCTCAGGTTTGATATGCTATTCCGCATTTACCATTCATAAATCTAACTTTTACTAGATAGAAGTTTATGTCTTTTAAGTTTTGACATTTAAAATAGGCCAAACGGTTAAATAGGACCCACTACAACTCCAGAACGTGAAACACACCCCTTCAACCAAAATATGCTGCAGTTATAACATCCAAATGTAATACAAAGTGCAATCGCTCCTTTTAGCATGTTTCTAACCCATACCTTCTAATAATTCCCACATATCAGCTGCCTGGGACAATGGTCAATGTTTAGGACATGATCTAGCTTAATGAATATAATAAGCTTCATTATGAAAAGGAGATCTGGGCATTAGATCCAAAATGCAAAAAATCATACAATTGGTCATGGCTATTTTGAGTTTTAATACATTTCATTTTCATTGATGTTTGTAGAGAGTAAGCCTATACAATTGCTTGTAAATGCTGGAGGGCCTGATAGGCTGTCCCGGGCTCAGATGGCTGAAGCTGTTGCTGCAATGAGAGGTTATAATGTGTTGATCAGATCTGTTTCTTCATCATCTGTATGTAATTTGTTTGCAAATAGTAATAATTTTTTTTACTCTTGGTATCACAACTATTATGTTATTCACAGTCAAATGCAACAGTTAACTGGATGGATAACTTAAACCAAGAAAACTGTAGTTGAGGATATACTGTTTCAACTTTCAACCACTTACGGGGGGTGGGGGGTGGGGATGGGTTACGCCGAGGATGTCTTCATAGTGATCTAACGGCTTTAATTTTGTCGGCTCAGTCTTTCCAAACATGATTTTATAGGTTGACCGTGGCGTGAAGTCCCCCTCAGACATATCCTTGGATATTACTAAGTTCATTCAGACACTTGGGTTTTCACCAACTAGATTCAATGATGGTGTTAAACTGACGCTGGAGGCTGAAGACTCTTTGAGGCACCAGTAAAATCATATTCTTACCATTCATGATCTGCAAGAGTCATATGTACCAAAGCAGTAAAAGGCTGAAGACTCTTAAACGATAGTTTCAGTTTCACATTCTCTAGATCTGCAAGAACATGTACAAACACTTGTGTTTAGATCTCACCTTGTTTAGGAGTTTATTCCATATGTTTGTCCTTTTCCCAGTTTTTATTTTACATTCAAAATATTGATGACGATACAAAGACTTGCATCACCACCATCCTTAACAAGGTATGCAAGGGTAGCTAGTAACTCCTAACCATAGTTCTTAATGCCCATTTGAGAAGGCTTCAAATGGATGAATGGGCCAAAATGAACTTGTGGGTAAAATGGTTAAATTTGTTGAATTAAGGAAACAGAGAGTAAAATACATAAATGTCATCTTATAATTCCATTCTTTTTTCATTTCTTTTGACTCTATTTTCCACCATACTCTCGATATATATAAAAAATTGTGTTTGACAAAAAATCATATACATACACATACATACATACATACATACATATATATATATATATAGGGTGCGGTTCCGATGAGAACACTCCTTAATGTGAGAAATGATAACACTCCAAAACGATGCACTTTATCCTTCACAAAATTGCACATTTATAGTTAAAGTAATGCAAAATTCTAATGTGCACATTTACGTTTAAAATTTTGCATAGACGAAATGCACATTTTCCAATTTTTTATATGCACGTTTCTGTTTTACATGATGCACAGTGCTCAAATCCAACGCTCCAGAATCATTCTCATTTCTCTCATAAAATGGTATTCTCATTTGATCCTTACCCTAAATATATATATATATATATATATATATAGAGAGAGAGTTTGGTTCAAATAAGAACACCATCTAATGTGATAAATAAGAAACAATCCTGGCCATTAGATCAATTGATTTTTTCAGCTTCTCACGTGTGCATGCAAAGGCCAAGATGGTCATTCCAAAATTTATTTCCTTTTGTACGTATGCAACTTTCCTTCCATGTTTCTTTCCATAATATTTTGTCAATCAATTAAACGTTTGATTCCTTTCCTTTTCAGTTACGAAAAAACATTCCAGATGTGAAATCTCTCAAGCTCGACACCCTGACTATCTCTTCCTCCCCAAAACACCAAAGCTCCATTAATGGATAAAGGTTCGTTTTTCTTGACCTGCTTTTGTTTTTTGTATGTATTTTTGATTTCCTTTTCCTTTTTGTTTCGTTTTCCTTACTACCTCCAATAATTCTTTGTTGCTCCTCCTCGTTTTTAAAATTTTTGGGAATAAGCTTCATTGTTTGTGTTTCAACGTTGATTTTGTTCTCTTACGTGGTGTTTCATCATCAATTTTCTAAGTTCCTGTATCAACTAAGTTTCATCGTCAAATTTCATTGTTTAGCGCTATGTCTTTGTTGTTTTGTTTGTGTTTTTATTTTCTTTGAATAACTATAACGTTTATGTTTCTTTTTTTACTCATGTAGAAGTTTTACAAATATCTCCTGGATTAACCAAGTATTGGATCCCTGAATGTGATGAAACATTCAAACCAAGGCTTGGCATGGTATTCAAAACCCTTGAGGATGGTATTGAGTTTTATAGGTAGTATGCGGGTGCTTGTGGCTTCGACTCTCGTATGGGTTCTCAAACTAAGGACCGTCGGCCAAGGACGGACATTGTTGTTTGGAAATATGTTGTGTGAAATAGAGCCAGTTTCAAGAATCCTGTTAAATCCAATCCGGTAGAAGCCACTAAGCCAGTCATGGTCCTGTGTTTAGCGCTGTTAGTAATGAAGAGCCAGAATGCTCACATAATGACACAGACGCTCACATTTTGCCAGAGCAAGCAGAACCTTCCCAAATGTGCTTGCCTAATTGCACATTAGTTCATTTAAAAGTGCTTCCTATTATTTGGCACATCTGATGTTATCTAAATGCACACTCCATTTATCACAAATGTGCTAGAATAAGTTCAAACAATGCATCTCAAATGTGCTTGCGTAATTCCACACTAGATAATTTTGAACAAATGATTTAACTTTTGAACAAATGATTTTACTTAAATGCACATTCCATGTGCAATCAATCTCAAACAATGCGCGCCAGAGATCATCTTTTCCCACACACATTCAAGCAAATCAACACAATTCATCTAATTTATCACACTAGATAATTTAACAAATGTACTACATAATTTCACTTTACTTATCACAAATGTGCTTATCCAATTGCACAGTAAGTAATTTTAAACTGATTTATCTAATTTAGCACATATGCTTTTAAGTAAGTGCACAATTCATTATTCATAAATGTACCAAATACATTAACATCACGTATAACAAATGTGCTTGCCTAATTGCTCACTAGTTCATTTAAAAGTGCTTTCTATAATTTAGCACAGCTGAGGTTATCGAAATGCACACTCCATTTATCACAAATGTGCCAGAATAAGTTCAAACAATGTATCTCAAATGTGCTTGTGTACTACATAATTTCACTTTACTTATCACAAATGTGCTTACCTAATTGCACACCAAGTAATTTCAAACTGATTCATCTAATTTAGCACAAATGCTTTTATGTAAATGCACAATTCATTATTCATAAATGTACTAGATACATTAACACAACCTATCACAAATGTGCTTGTCTAATTGCGCGCTAGTTCATTTAAAAGTGCATCCTATTATTTAGCACAACTGATATTATCTAAATGCACACTAGTTCACGTTTTGCTACGGACCTTGTTTCTCTTCTCTCCATCATTTAAACTACTTACTATGGTTGAGAAGAAACTTACCAAATTAAAGTCTTCTAACTTTGGTAATGACGATAATGATGGGATTCAACCACATCTGCTGCCTTCCTAGGATTTAATGCTTCCGTTTTTTTCAATTATCAAATGTCCAAATTACCCCTCACGTGACTATCTTTAATTTGACCACAAACTGATATTAATTTCTTTCCTTATTACACAAAATCGGCAGCCCTAATTTTGCACTCATTCTCACCCTCCGATTTCACAAATCTACGGTTCAAAAACGTTCTTATTTATCTCCTAATGTAGTGTTCTTACTTGAATCAAACCCTATATATATATATAGGGAGTGGTTCCGGTGAGAAAAGACTCCCAGGAAAGAAATGAGAATGAATCTGGACCGTTGGATTGTATTATGTGAATTTGAATTATGCATTTGGTAAAACTGAAATGTGCATTACGTGAAATTGAAATGTGCAGAATGAAAAATAAAACTCAAATGTGCATTACATGAAATTAAAATGTGCAGAATAAAAGGCACAAAAATGTCACTACATCGTAGTTTTTATTCTGCATGTTTCAGTTTCACGTAGTGCACATATTAGTTTTTCATAATGCACAATTCAACTTCACATAATACCACTATGCCTTACATTTTGTGTTGCACATTTTGTTTTCACGTAATGCATATTTCAGTTTCACTTAATGCACATTCAGTTTCACAGAATACAATCTAATGAATCTGGATCGTTAGATTTGCTTTATGTGAAATTCAATGTGCATTAGATGAAGCTGTAATGTGTATTAGGTGAAATTGAAATGTGCAGCACAAATGGTACAATGTAATGGCATTATGTGAAGCTAAATTGTGCATTAGGTGAATTTGATATGTGCATCAGATAAAACTAAAATGTGCAAAATAAAAGGTACGATGTGATGTTATTTTTGTACCTTTTATTCTGCACATTTCAGTTTCACCTAATGCACATGTGAGTTTAAATTTTAATTCTGCACATTTCAATATCATCTAATGCACATTTCGGTTTCACCAAATGCACAATTCAGTTTCACATAATTCAATCCAACTGTCACGCCCCGGACCGCATCCGAGCCACGTAGACAACCGCCGTACAACCCGATAAGAACAACGACAGTTCATCCCTATTGAGTTGTACAAGGCGTCCGATTGATTCTATTGCCAAACCGATTAGTAAACACATACAATCAACATCAATATCATAATCAAACAAATGCGGAATAATAAAATGTTTGATACTTAGCCACACGTGGCAAACACGGGCACGCAGGCCCCCAACTGTTTTAATGAAAATATTGTTCAAAAATACATGAGCGGTTTATACATTTGAAATAAGAATGGAAGCACGAACCACGTCTTCCTTCTCGATCAGTCACCCTAGGCAAAGGTGCAGGTAGTAGGACTCTAGCCTCAACCTGAAAAATGTGAGGGCCCCCGGAGGGGTCAGTACTCCATAGAAGTACTAGTGACAAGCAGGCTATATGAAGAATAACTAATGTTTCAGACACGAGACCCAAAAATAGGGTGATATATACATATAGATGTCCCTCATCCACCCGATGATACATACTGTATATATACTCGTAAAATACTCAACCCGTAGGTCATTTACTTTAAAGAGTCTTTTAGAGATAAAGTTCTTACTTGACTTTTCTCACTCCTTCCCCGGTTATCTAGCTCACAAGCTATAGTCTAACTTTGATTCATACTACCGAGTGTTTTAGGATCATTTACCGTCCAAGGCACTCAACCCATCCTGGAGTATTTAAGATCATTTACCGTCCAAGGGTACTCGGCCCCACCTGGAGTATTCTGGATCATTTACCGTCCAAGGGTACTCGACCCCACCTGGAGTATTCTGGATCATTTACCGTCCAAGGGTACTCGACCCCACCTGGAGTATTCTGGATCATTTACCGTCCAAGGGTACTCGACCCCACCTGGAGTATTCTGGATCATTTACCGTCCAAGGGTACTCGACCCCACCTGGAGTATTCTGGATCATTTACCGTCCAAGGGCACTCAATCCCCAGTCTATTCTCTACCAAATCCTAACCTGGATATGGCTAACCTTTCATTCCTTTAACTATGGACAATTCCTAGCCCTATAGTCATATAACAATCCTTAGGATCCAACGTGGGCGGGTCCCACCCGAACGGCCCACATTAACCCGCTCAAAACTGCCCGTTTTGAGCATAACCCAATACTCGATCGAGTATTAACCCATACTCGGTCGAGTACAGGAGACAGTAGTCCACAAAGCTGATTTTCAACAAATACCCGGTCGGGTATGTGTCAATACCCGATCGGGTATGGCAGTTGACTTGGCGGTCAACGCCCCTTTTGACCCCCCAAACGGAGTCCGATTAACTTGAAATTTTATACACATATACTTCTTGATGTCCTTGATCCAAAAATACCATTTTGGATCCCTGGATCATCACACAAAATATGTTATCACATTTTTAATCACCAAACCTACATAACATGCTTTTTAACTATGTTTTATGTATAATCATAGCATAAACACACACTTGGTTATCTTTAATCATCCCACAAAACATATTCCTGATTACTTTAGGTAATCTCATTCCTCACGCAAAAGTTATAAAGCA